AAAAAAATAAAAAAAAAGTGAGGATTATGAGATTTATTTGAATGCCGTAGGCTTGGCATTGTTATGTTTATTCTCATGTGTGAGATGTTGTGTATATATTTATTGTTGCCTCGTTCTCATGAGTAGACGAGTGTTTTGATTTACGCGCGTACGTATATGTTAACCATCCGGGGAGTGTTAGTCAAACTCAGGACGATATCCCCATGCAAGTTTGGCTTCGGAGTGGTGTTAGGTATACGAGAGGCACATGGGATATATGTGTAAGCTGGAAGGGGAGGGCCGAAGTGGTGGAGTTAAGGTATAAATAATTTAATTATGAGATGATTGTTATAGTGTGTATTGTATTGATTTGTACAGGTTGAAAAATAGTAAACGACCTTAATAAATTATGAAATTTGAGCAAAGGCATGTATACGTGATTCTAGACAAATTTTATATTTTAACTTTTTATTAAGAAGATCGATTAGAACTTATAATCGGATGATCTTGGTTATTGTCGGTTTGATTCGTTTTAACAATGTAGATTTTAGAGGATGGTTTAACCCACAAAACGAGCTCATTTTTATTAGTTTCGTGAAGATTAAAGTAAAACGTTATTCTGCACACTTTTCATGCTTTGAACTTTTTCGAAAAAAATCATCTTATGGAAGTTTTTGCTCGTTTTCAGTTTCAGATTTTTCGATTGAATTCCGTCTAGATTTTTCTATCAAGTTTTTCTCTCAACTTGTTTAGTTTCTATTAAATTCCTTCGTGCTGTCTTTTAGAAAATTTGATTCTGTATAACTTTCGTTCTTTGAGTTTTGGTCAATTCGAATTATTTAAGCATGAAACGGTGCATTTTTATACTTTTTCAGTAAGTTATTTATGATTAAATTATACTAACTTTATTTTTTTTGCAGGATGGTGGGTCTTACTAACTTTTCATACAGGGCTAACCCATCATATTTTTATTTCTATTTTGTTTATTTTATAATCAATTTATATTTCGTTGTGTATGGACAAGAAACTAAATGCGTCTGTATCTAGGGAAATACCCATTCGTCTCGGTGCGGTTGAAACTACTTGTCTTGTCCCGTAATAAGAATTTAATATATTTTTGTTTGTGTCTGGTGGACACGTGGGTGTTAATCTTGTACTCATACCAGTATACCTATATACTGACCTGTTTTGTCTCTTGGCAACTCGAGTGCGTTCTGTTTGAGCGCAGCCGAGCTTCCTTTATAGGATTAGTTGAGGCTATCGTGGTGACAAGAAATAACTATGATCGTAGGACATGTCGAATGGACTTCTTTTGTTTTCTTGAGCTTAGGGTTGATATTAGTTTATGTATTTATTATTTATTTATTTTTTTTTTATAACTTTAGTATTGGAATAATTTGGCATGGTTTGTAACCGTACTTTATTTAAGTTGTTTTGACTAGTTGCTGCTACCTTAATGTTAAGCTATTGTTTAGTTATGAAATTTATGGTGGATGGTTTGTTTAGCGTTTAGTTTTTTTGTTTCACCCCTAGGATTTGGATGATGGAATATTGATTGGGGTTTAGCCCTAATTTGATATTTAATTATCCGAATTTTGGGGCGTGACAGTTTGGTATCAAAGCTCTAGGTTACCCTAGAGTTGTGAGAATTTAGGTGATCCTCGGATTGTGGAAACATGGGTTAGCTGGTTTAGGTTAGTGGTTGAATTTATTCTAAGTATTTATGAACAAATTCTTCTTGTATGTTTAACTTGAAGGTGATGGCTGTAAAGTATCTTTAATTTCTTTCAAGAACCCATTAGAGTACTATTTGATATTGGTGTCTCTTATTGTTTCATATCTTGGCCGTTTGTAGAAAAAGAACATATTGTAACTACCTCATTGTCTAGACCTATTCGTGTTGAGACCCCTTTAGGAGGGGCAGTTACTCTTTATGAGATGTGCAAAGATTTTAAGATTGATTTTGCCGGTAGAGTCTTATATGCAGACCTAATTGTTTTAGGGTTTGAGGGGTTTACAATTATTTTGGGTATGGATTGGCTGCGGAAACACTTTGTGACTCTAGATTGTACTGGAAAGACTGTATGTAGACGCGCCCGCGGGGGCTCAGGCTACAGTTCGGACTCGATTTGATTATTTTCGGACTGAATCATAATTCGAACCCTCTGAGTTAGGGGACATGTAATATGTGGGTGAGTGTGTGTATGTCTTCTAATCCCCATTTTCTTTCTTCCCTTTATTATATCTTCTTATATGGTGAGATTATGGGGCATTTTTGAGATTAGCATACCATTATGATATGCAATGCGTGCATCAAATGCATCTGTTGCAATGCACCAGGGCTCGGTACATCATACTAACCGCATTCGATCTTTCAAGTACAAAATTTGAATACATGAAACAGTTGGTTACATATCATATCGCGCTATATTTAGTTCAACCGAGCCTAACTAAAAAAATATGCAAATCTGTATGTGTTGCATTAGGCAAAATAACATGAACTAGGACACGCACCATTTGCCTAACGGTAGTTCTATTTGTTTTGGCACGGATGTACATGTAAGTTGGTTATGCTTTAAGCATCAAC